CGAGGGCGGCAGCAGCCGGGGAACCAGCAGCCGGCCCGACGGCCGCTCTCCCGGGCGAGGTCCCGGCCCACGGAGCCCCGCTCCTGCCCCAGGCCTCCGGGCACAGGCACGGGCATGGCATCGTCTGTGCCTGGCACCTGGGCTGCTCCATTTTTAGCTGCCACTGAATGGAGCACGGGCTGCAGCCTCCTTGGGGTTGAGCCAGATCTGGCTGCTCTGGAGGCTGCGGCACCACGAGGGCCAACGGTACCAGTGGGGCAAACAGAGACCAGGAGGCGACAGCAAGGTCCGGGTCGCTCGGCTCCTTCCTGGAGCCATCCAACGTCTGGAGTGGCCTGGTGGCGTCTCCCCTCCACCACCCCATGCTGCACCCGTGAACTGCCGAAAGGCCTCACTGGGCCCCGGCTCACACTCCCACAGTGCAACCCCGTGCCCACCACCCCACAGGGAGGCTGGGGCAGTTCTTGAGTCCTGGTGGCTGTGACCCCGCCGCATGCTGTTGGAGAAGAGGGGTGTTAGTGCTCTGCTCAGCAGCAACAGTCACAACGCACGGAGCCTTTAATGCGCCCTTGCATTTAGGGTGGTGCTGCCCCACCTTCAGCCACCTTGGGCTCCTGCCCAGCCCCGGGGCCAGGCTGCTGCAGCACGTGGGCCTGCCACGTCTTACAGCTGAGGCGCAGTTACCAGGTTCAAGCCCCGCCTGTCTCTTGCCCAGAGATCTCTAGCTGACAAGCAGAATAATCCCTTCTTTTTATGGAGCCACCTTGTTAGTGTGCTGGACAACGCTGCAGTGCTCCTGGCTCAGCAGAATTCACCTGTGTCTCATCATCCCTGGGACCCCACAACCCTGCCCCCTTCTTTCGCCTACCCTGCCAGTCGCACATGTGTCTCTGGGACCCCAGCCCCTTTTCCCCTGGGACCCCTCCTCATGCTTTCCTCTTTGTGCTCCCCACCCAGATGTGCCATCCAGTTACAGCCTCCTGGTGAGTGGGCAGGAGCCGCGTTTGTCGAGCAGAACCAGAGGGCAGGAGCTGCGTGCAGGCTCAGCACAGACCGGCCAGGGTGGGCCCTTGCCCAGCTCCAGAGAGCTGGGTTTCTTTGGCGCAGGGCTGCCTCTCCTTCGTTCCTTCCATTTGCAATCCCTGATAATAAACCACAGTGCAGGGAGTGTCTGGGCTGTGTTTACCAGCTGGCAGGTGTGCAAAGGTGGTTGCTGTCACGTACTTGCAATGACCTTTGGTCCAAGAGGCAAATTCGTGTCAGGAACCAAAAGTTGCCGCCTGCCTCAGCTGTGATGGGACGAGGTGAGAGCAGCAGAGCATGGAGCCGACCGGCTCACTTGGCAAAGGCCCGAGACCACTCACCACAAGCATCCCCATGCCCTGCCCTGTGCAGTCATCTTGTCTGCACCTTGGGGCAGAGACCGTGGGGCACTTGTAACAAGGACAAGGGCTAACACATCTTCCAACACACAGGATCACATGTGCCACTAGCAGGGGCCCCTTGCTTTATGTTTTCAGGCGAGTCCCAGGTGGTGCTGCTATAACTCAGCATTATGGGGTGGTTTCTACTCCAGAGACCTGGAAAACAGGAGGAGCGGCAATCCCCTGGTGTGACTCACCCCCAGACAAGCCTGGTATGAATAGTGTATGAACCAGGGATACCAGTGGTACCTGCTGCCACATGGAGTAGGCATTGAACACTAGGCCAAAAGCCTCTCAAAATGATGTTCCTGCCTTCTCTTCCTGCCCTTGGCCCTTGCTGCTCCTTTCCACAGTAGACGGGAGCCCCTCCACACTGGCTCCCTGGGAGGAGGCTGGGACACTGTGCTCTGGCCGTCTCCCTGTCTCCTCCCCGACACGCGAGGCCTGGTGACATCCTGCGTGTGCTGCTTCCAGCCCTCACCCCGGTCTCTGCGCTCTGCTCCCTGGGTGACGCCAGCACGGGCAGCGTTCCCGCCGGCG